CTTACTCGAACTAACCTTATCCAAGGTTAATAAATTACTAAAGGTCATTGAAATAACAGCAAACTAAACGAAGTTCAATAATAATTTTAATTAATGTATGGAAAACCCGCTTTTGATTACGTTTACCTCTTGCAGTGTTGCGCTTTGTTATCATACAATTGCCTGTGGACCTTTTAATTAACTGCGAATAACTATAACCGCTGATTAAGGGTTAATAGTATGACTAGTTAACGAGCTCCGATGTTAAACTTCAATTATGGAACCATTTGTTCCATAATTTATAGTTGCCGTGACTTGTATGCAGTTATATCGGCTTTTTATTGTGAGAGGCATATGCATGAATAAAGAAAATTATGGTTGAGTTTTATTAAGATCAAGTTTATTATAAGACTTAAGGCACCAGGATAAATGTTCAGTCGTATATTGATGACATAATAATTGTCATTCAATTATCAGTGAGGCGGATTTAAGTACTTAATCTAATTTGAAGAATTGAATCTTAGTTTACTGTACTCATCACTAATAGAATTTGGTAAAATTCAAAAGAAATATGACCAACCTTTTTAAGTAATAAACATTCATTTATGATTCAATTCCATTACATCTCTCACAGAAAAAGGTTCATTAAAACAACTCAATTCGACCCAAATCACTCACGACAGAAACTTTAATCTTCATTAAAAGCCGCAAAATATTTTAAAGTTAAAATATCACTGAAAACCTTTTGGAGCTCTCTAAGGCATTCTATTAAAATGTTCAATGTTAATAAAACCGTTGTCGAGTTTAGTTGTATAATTTTATTAGTCAAAGGCTTCATAATAATTATCTGACTTCTCAATGTTGCCACAACTGGGATTCTGGTGTTTCTAAGGGTTGATTCAGGCCATGTTGAACTGGGACTTGGGAATTAAATGATACCAATTCGCGAGTGTCTAATAAATAAAGTAATGACAAGAAATATATTTTTGAAATCAAAAACGCTATTGAACTTGGTCGTCAAACTACTAATTATGCAATTTTTTTATCAATATTACTAACTATATCATAAGCAGTTATAAGATCTGTAAGGATTCTCTCTAATTTTCTTTTGCATGACAACAAGCATAGCTTTGACATACATACCTATAAAGCAATAAATAATGAAAGAATCGTAACAAGAGTATTCGACGAATCATATCAATCGTTGTCTTCTCGTAACAAAATAGATGTCGTCGACCTATTTCGTGGATGTAGTGTTTCGTAGCACGTGTCAAGTCTAGGCTCATCTGTCATGGCGGCTAACTGGGTGCCGTCTGCCGAGTGTTTTCTTGTTAGCATCGCTTTTCGGACGTCCAGTCTATGAGTGACGTTTTTCGAACTCGTTTCCAATGACCTCAAATCCTTGAGAACCATGCCCTATTTAGACCTAGGTATAATATTAAGTTAAGTTTTTTATACAAATTTAAGTGTTTCATATTTATTAAGATCTGTCTCAGTGCAATCATCGGGCGTTCTTGTTACTTCTTTAAATGTTTTGCAAAATATAAGCTGCTGGCTATAGTCTCCACGCTAGGCAAGCGGGTTGAAGATTCCATTTTATAAAAGGTTGTTTTATCAGAAAATAACTGCCCGTCTCTGTCAAACGTGTAGTCCTCAGTCGGGACACCAGCGGGAAGATTATTATTCTACCTTGTCGTCACTGCATTCTACACAGTTATTAACTACTAGCTACTTCCGCGCGATTTCACTCGCTCTACTCGGCGCCTATTAATGGTAGCGTGATATTTTATAGCCTATATATAGCCTTCCTCGATAAATGGGCTATCCAACACAGAAAAAATTTTTCATATCAGACCAGTAGTTTCGGAGATTAGCGCGTTCAAACAAACAAACAAAAAAACAAACTCTTCAGCTTTATAATATTAATATAGATGAGTTGAAAACACAACATAATCTCAAAATCGTTCAGTAAAATTCCGTTCCCCAACAAAACAATTTTATTAATTAGTCGGGAGTTCCATTATTGACACAAGTTATTGGTCCACAAACAGGCAACGGACTACCCAGGGATTAACAGAAAGCTGTCGATGATAAACACAATGTCTGCGTTGCACGTACGATGAGATAAAACCGTTTAAGCCCATGAATACGAGTTGAACGAGGGTTTATTTGTACAGAAAAAATAATTAAAATATAATATCTGAACACTTTGTATGTAAACAGATGTGTAAATATTTGTTTTACAATCAGTTTTCGCGGCAGTTTTGTTGTAATGGGGAAATTTTATAGTGCTGAGGAGTTTGAAATGAAAATCTCTTCAAAATCCGAGCTGAAACTTATATCTGGCAGTCTGTTTGTGACCAACGAAGCCAAAGAGAAAGATATTAGAAAAAAAAAACATTTTAAGTGTGGGAGAGCCATGCTTCGGCACGAATGGGCCGGCTCGACCGAAGTGATACCACGGCCTTACAGAAAACCGACGTGAAGCAACACTTGCGTTGTGTTTCGTCGTGTGAGTGAGGTTACCGGAGGTCCAATTACCCTCCCCTTCCCCAATCTCCCCAACTCCTGAATCACCAACGACCCTCAAACTCCTAATCCCCAAAAGGCCGGTACTTGTACGCCTGTGGTGTTCCAAGTGTCCATGAGCGACGCCGATTGCTTACCATCAGGTGATCCGTCTGCTCGTTTACCGACTTATGCTATAAAAAAAAAGTTTAAACAAAAAGTATTTTATCTATTAAGATTATATGAATTGTTCCGGCTACCATGTAGGCGTTTGTTGACAACATAAACACAAAAAAAAACGTAAGAAAATTGTATTCATACTTTGAATATTTTTAAATTAAATTCAGAGGACCACTTTCTCGTTATGAATAGGGGATCGTGCCAAGATGTCAAGATATGTATGTCATTATCATATTACTGTCAATTGAACAGATTTATATGATTAAGGCTCCGTTCATATTCACAGTATTATTGAGTTTTTCGATTCTATTGATACATATTATGTACCAGATTATTGGTAAAAAAACTCTATCTTTTTTATTATCTCAACAGTTAAAAATTTTGTCCTACAATAACATATCTGCTTCTCTTTTACGTAATAACCGTAGGTGCCTAAGAAAAAAGGAGATGCAACATAATAATTTTACACACTCCGCACTATTACATAGGAATCAGAACATAAATAGTGAAAAGTGGGTGTTACATTATACAGTGGCATAATGTGCACCTCTACCTACCCCTTCAGGGATAAAAGGCGTGATTTTATGTAGTTCTCTATAATATCCCTATGTAATATTCACTTGCAGCATGTCCACTACGTATTCTCTAATTAAAACCTAATTCTATCCTTGCTTTCGAGACACGTTCGACGCAAGTGTGAATGGAGCCTTAAGCACTGAACGTTGTATGACTCATAATACCAGACCCAGTTATATGCAATATCATTTATATTAATAATATGAAATTTACGCATACCTACCGGTAGCTACTCAGACGAATCTGTAAAATAACCTCATTAAACGCTGTCTTGTTGATTGAGTTTAAAGTGTTATTGAGCGTTTTGGTGTCAAAATCGTCTGCAGTATTTAGATGTTTGTTTAATCGAATTTTGGTTATTATGTCCTTAACTGGTTTTCGCTTTGGCTTGCTTATGCAAAAGTGTACTATGCCGTTCAGTACTTAGTATAATTTTATAGAAAAATCCAAATTCTCATTGATTACTTTTTCGATAGAGTAAGTAACTCGTACTTTGTATAATTTTATAGAAAAACCGAAATTCTTTTTGATTACTTTTTCTATAGAGTAAATAGTTTAAGTCCGATTTACTCGTTATCTATTTAACAAACAAATTCATATCCAACGTAAATACAATTTTTCTTATTTCACCACATTTAAAAATCACATTAAAACATTACTTAGCTACGTTTATAAACAAACCTCATAAAATATAATTTAGCGAATCTCCTAAAGCCAGATTTCACTAGTAATTCGCATTTCGGGCGGCGAGCGTGCAGCACAGCCGGCCGTTTGAATTAGCCATTGTGTACGACTTTATATGACCTGAATAAAGCACATTTAGGCAACGTTTTAACAAATACCCCACATGTAGCATCGCGTAAATTAATGTGAATGGCTTTTGTAATGATATTGTGTACAATGGACCTACATTTCAATCAAAACAGTGATAGTAAGTAGACTGAATGACTGAATGCATAATGAATGTGTCGTTATGTCACACACCATTCAGATTTGAATCGAATTAAGTGAGGTGGATGAATCAAAAAGTACACAATAACATATGTATCTACGTAGTATTAACATGACGTTTTATTACCTACGTAAAAGGACAGACAGAAATAAACTCAATATAGCTCAATCGGATTTTCCCCATTTTCTAAAGCATATGAAAGACCACACTGACTAAGAGTGATCGTGAAAAAAATTAATCAATTTTATTCTATGTTTAACATAAGGAGGAAACCACCACAGGAGATTCTATTTTACATAACAATATTTTAAGTTCAATTTTCGTTGCAGATTCCACCATCAAATTCTAGTTGTAGGTAGTAGAATATTAGGTAACAAACTATGTATTAGATAACCTATGCTTTTAGCGTTCCCACTAATTGCATTGGCACCCCTAAACTGACTTTAGTAAGTACAGCACTTTATGTTTAATGTACAATTTAAATTACCGGTTAAGAGCTAGTTCGCTTCTGGTTATTAATAATTTACCTGTACAATTATTATTGCTGAATATTACAGTTACTATACATAATCTATACATAATCTAAATGGTAATTATAATGTCAAAAGTAGGAAAACAACTATAAATAATGTAAATCACACTTATTTATTTACATGTAAAAAGACTCCACTATTTAATCCGACTACATCCGCTAAACTAGATTAACCTCTCATCTACCTCTACAAATACATTGTAGTTTGCGTATACCATGTTCCAGTAGACCAGGAGATAATGACGTAAACAGAAAATCAACTTCTATTCTTACCTTAAAAAGTAATCATGCACGAACTCCTGGTTCTCGTCGAGCCAAGCTTCCGTGCGCGCGCATTCAGCATCATAGCAGGAAGGCGCGGGCATGCCGCCGCCCGCGCCTCCCGCTGGCTCCTCTATGCTCCGCAACTGTAGGCCTAAAACAATACAGAACGACATTCAATTATGATATTCGATATTTAAAAATTTGGGTCCCTGTCTATGCTTGAAACTAGTTGAGTTGAATTGTCAATCGATTACGTGAGAAAACCGTACAACATAATTTAATATGGTGCATTGTTGCTAAAAAGAGTGCTTTATTCTCTTTAATTTTCCAACCACATTATGCATGTTGACAATGTTTGGCATAAACTTAATTTTGAATCAGCTAATGATAGTAAGGAAACTAGATAAGATTCAAAGTCAAAATTCATAACATAACATAACAGGTGCACATTATGCCACTGAACAATGTAACACTCACTTTTCACTCTTTATGTTATGAGTCCCATGTAATAGGGGGTGAGCCTATTCCATAAAGTCAAAATTGACATAAAAAAGATAATTCCAAAACTTAAAATAAAAACATTTAAGGCAGTGATAAAGCGATGATCTTAATGACAAATGGTGTTAGAAAAAGCATGAATTGAACAAAATATCGAAAGCCAACGTCATAATTATGATAGTAATAGAAGAACTATAAACAGCATATCTGCATTAGACCTTGGAAATATAACAACCTCTTCAAAGTGATACAGGAATAGTAACAAGGTATTCCCGAGCGATGTCAATGAGATCCTTTGAATAATAATAGCAACTACAAGAGCTCACTGTTTGCATACATTCAAACGTATATACAGAAAAATGGTACGTCATCATCATATCAGACCACTTATACCCGGAAAAGGTTGGCAATGGTGTACTCATAGTACACGTGCTTTTGCTGATTGTGGTTTTCAATCTACGTATTTCGGAATAACAATTTTGGACTTTGAAAACCAAAATCTGTATGCGTGCAAAATATGGGCCAGTTATTATTATGGACCAGTGTTGTGTCCAGGATATTAAAGTACAATCATACCAAGTTTCATGGTAATCGGGACGGTAGATTTTGCGTGATGCGTGCATAAACAGACAGACTGAGACAGACAATCATTTTTTTAATCACATTTTTGTGTTTGGTGTCAATCCAGTAACACCCCTTAACTTTTATTTTTTAATATTTTCAGTGTACAAAATTTATTTTTCTACAGTTTAATTATTTGTATAGATTGGCCCACATAACAAATGAGGCACTTCTAAAGGAAAAAAGATACACATAATGATAAATGAAATGAATAGAAAGCTAAAGTAATAATAATAATGTTCACAACAAATATGTTCATAACAAATTCAAAGTCAATTCAATTTCTTCAACACACGAATTCAATCAATTACTGCCTCAAAATTACACTTCTTTTTACATTAAAAAACCAATCAGGTTTTATATACCGATATATATTTTACAGCAGTTAGTATTTACTTCTGTCTGGGGAGATCTAACTTTGCCGACAGCTGGTCCCAACACACGTGAGTCTGTAAGTCCGATTGAAAAATAACCACATAAAATAGAAATTCTAGAATTAAGTTTTCTAAGTAATTACATTTAATAATTGCAACCTTCTGCCAAAGCCATTAGTTCTAACAAGTTCTATATAAATACTTTTAAATTAGTTTTTTTCATAAATTATATTCAAGTAAATCCAGTTTTCACAACTAATTCATTCATCAGATATTCTAACTAGTGATTTGAATGCGAGAGTAAGATTGTTTGTTAAGATTAAGCTGCTAAACCGCTAAGCTATTTCTAATTAATGTAGGTGCAGATATAGATCTTAGATTCTTTGAGATTTTTCCTTGACTTCTTATATCAGTATCATAATTATTCTATCCGACTGCCTCGTTAGCCGAGTGGTCGCAAATGCGACTGCCGGACAAGGGTTCACGGGTCGGGAAAAAATTACTGGGTTTAAAAAAATCTCAGTAGTAGCACAGAGTCTGTAGCGCCCGGTATATGGCAATAGGCTCACCCCTTATTACATGAGACTCAACACAGAATAGCGAAAAGTGGGTGTTACATTGTATAGTGGCATTAAGTGCCGTAATGTGACCCCTGCCTACTACTTCGGGGATACAAGGCGTGATGTTATGTTAATGATTCTACTCACAAATAAAACTTAGAACTAGCACCTAATTTCATTACCTTTATACCAAAGTCTCAGAGAGAAACATTCCCTCAATACGTATTCCAATAATTAGTTTACCGTCTTGTGCCTTAGTAATAACGTTACCGATTTTATATACCGGTGACCTTTTACTCTTTCTGGTATCGAACGTGATATCCATTGATTTTGGCGTACGTGCCTCTAAATGATCCTTCCTTGCCTTTTGACTGTTCATTTAAGGCCAGAGGGAACCTTCAGCTACTTTATTGAGTGCACAACCCTACTAAGTATGCTGTATAACGGTGGTCGACATTGAGAAACAAAATGTGACATCCTTATTGGTTTTCTTAATTAATTTTTGGTAGTGCGTGTTCTTGAGTCGTTTCTCATTTCCTTTTCATTATACATTATGAAGAGATGATACTGTCTTTTATTGTCATTCGTCGGACTATTTTAGTGTAACGTTCATTTAATAACATTCTATAGTTTTAACTGCCTCGTTGGCTGTGTGATCGCAACTGCAACAGCCATGCAAGGGGCCTCGGGTTCAATTCTTGGGTCGGGCAAAGAATTACTGGGGTTTTTAAAAATTCTCAGAAGTAGCACAGAGTTTGTGCTCGGTATATGGCAATAGGCTCACAACTATTACATGGGACTCATAACATAAATAGTGACAAGTAGGTGTTACATTTTGTAATGGTATTAAATGCAGTAAAGTGCACCTCTGCCTACCCCTTCGAGGATAAAAGACGTGATTTTATGGTATGTCTACAGTTTTATTGAATTTATTGGTAGTATTAATTTTAATGAATTACGGTGATCTCTATAATTAATTTACTTAATACAAAACAATATAATCAAATCACTTTACGACAAACTTTCAACAAGACCGCAAACAATATCAATATCATTCTAATAAACAATAAAAACAAGATTGTCCAAACAATCCGAGCAATAACAGTTACTAGAAGTACAACTATTAGAGACCCTCTTATCTCGTTCACATCAGACCGATGACATCAATTCCTGCGTTGACTACTGTGTAGTGGCAATAGTTTCAGTAATGGTAGGTACATTAAATGCAATAGAGGGCTGTCCTAGCCGTTGTGGCAGCATGATGTTAATTGAGCTCGCAAAGATAAACATTTACTTTTCCCTAATTGAAATTGACACAAGGTACTTGGATGATTTGCGTTGTAATTGAAAATGACGGATATAATTGGATGAATAGTTATTACGTTGCTTTGAAAATAAAGTTTCCTATGTTAGTGCCATGTGTCTATAAGGATATTCAGTGCAAACAAATTGCATTAGTTGCTAGTGAGCTACATAATATTCGTCCGAAATACTGATAAATAAGTGGAATGTGGTAAATATCCAGACTTTATACCAAAAATAGCATATTCCATAAAACTGCATTTGATAAAATTACATCACGCCTTTAATCCCTGAAGGGGTAGACAGAGGTGCAAATTACGGAACTTAATGCAGTGGCATTACAGTGGCAGCAAAGTGGTACAATGTATAACATCCACTGTCACTACTTATTTTATGAGTCCCATGTAACAGGGGGTGAGTCTATTGCCATATACCGGGCACAATTCTAGGCTCAGTGCTACTACTGAGAATTTTATTAAATAAGTATTAGTAAAATATCATTTATAATGATGATGGCAACTAATGATTTCAATTTCTACGCCATATTTAAAGGGCTAAAAATAAAAACACAGTCCTAAACCTACCAATAAAGCAGCTATACTATCCACGCGTTGCTGTGGGAAAATAGTGCACATTTGAATTAATGAATGAATATAATCTGCGTTAATTACTTATGCAGATTACAGCCGATATAGGCAATTTAAATAGTGCGCTTAACTCCCAGTGTAAATGTGCTGGCAATTAAATTACTTGCTAATTAGCGTTTACGTAATTAGCGATTCTAATGACGTTGAAAAGTGTGAAAATATAGGCAATTTACAAAATGAACGTATGTTTGAGTTAACTGTATTTTAGGATGACTGTTCGTATAAGCAAAAATAGTCTTTACGTCTTTTTAAATTCAACCCTTTCAAAATCCATTATAGGACAAAATGTGACGTAAAAATCTAAGATAAAAACTTCTCATAAAATTATATATTAATTTTTTAGGAGTCGAGAAATATCAGTCGAGCATAAAGACCTGGGTGATTACTCTAGAAACCAATGTCAATGTCAATGCGATTTCAATCCAATAAAATCTCAATAATTATTCAATGTCAAAACTATACAACCCCTATCGCAACTGTTGAAATAGCATTCAGAGTACGGGATATAAAGCCAAACTCAAAACCATTTAGTTCATTCAATAGCCACGCAATACGGATGCAATGGGCGCTAGTGTTGAAACTCAAGAGTACGAAATTTCACACTGTCAATGTCGATCGATCAGAAATGGATTCAAGAGTAAGCCCCTTGAGCATATTTGTATTTGCACAAAATTTTACTACACACCAAAGAACATGCGACATTCAATCGACTCCGTAGTGTTTACATTCATCGAACGCTTCACTTAATTCACAAAAAACAATCAGATTCAATTCTATTCACCGTACCGAAAATAGGACTAAAATTTTCCATGACTACCAAATAAACATGACCGTATAAGCGTAATATAGAAATACAACCAAGATGAGTCCACGTGTACCCAACACGAGGGCCAAGGACGATCATTTTCCTGTTAAACACATCGAACACAAGTTATTTTCTATTTATTTGCATCATAGTTTATTACTAATAATATGCTAATTACATTTTTGCTAATAAACGGCAAAATCATACGTCTTTAAGATAAAATTCTTGGTAAGTACTAATGAATTTTTACAGAATAAATAAGTACTTTGTCTTTAAGTTACCTTTATCTTGGTAAAATATTTATAAGATACCTCTTGATTTTCACAGAATTGAAATACTTTGAAACTAGTCCTTAATGGCAAA